CTGCTTTGGATTCCTTCTACTGTGTTCTTCAATTCAGAAATGGTATTCTTCATATCCTCTTGTGTCTTCTTGATAGTTTCCACGTCCTTTTCTAAGCTGTTATAGTTTGCTGTAAGATCCTGATAGTTTCTCTGCAGTTTCTCATAGTTCTCTTTGAGCTGGCTCAGCTCATTTAGCTTCCTTAGAACCATTGTTTTAAATTCAATATCTGATAGCTCCCTTGCCTCTATTTCATTTAGCTCTCTCTGTGGGGAGTCCTCTTTTTCCCTCATTTGGGGGGAACTTCTTTTTCTTCCCATTTTTGTGAGAGTCTGTTAAGTATTTTTGTCTTTTACTTTTCTTTCTGGGCCTAACTCTGATGATGTCAGTTTTTGACCCTATATGACCTTTGGTTGTTTGTTTGAGCCTTCCACAAGTCTACTGTCTGTGTCTGATTCCTGCTTTGGAGATCGCTGTGACCCCTTCGGTCAGGGCTGGGCTATTTTTTGGGATCGCTGTGCACTCTGATGTTGGCGCCTTCGGCACGCTTCCGCCTGGCCGTATCTCCCACCTGTCTGGGCTTGCATGTGCTTGCCACAGACCAGGGGGCTTATTCACGACCTCGCGTACTCATCTGGCCCCCCTGGCCGGCGAGCTCCGTGGCACTGGTCAGTTTAGGGTCTTCTATTGTGTGTTTTCCCTGCTTTTGGCTCTTTGGGTGCGTTGCTTGCCCTCTCCAAATAGGGACTCCAGCAATGGGAGAAAGTCAGCTCCAGGACTCTCCGGTTAATCCTGTCTCCTATCTCTCCTCCAGGGACTCTGGGCAGCTCTGTGACCCCTTTGGCCGGGGAACTACTGATTTTGTGGGCCACTCTGCAGTCACGGGTGGGCGGGTTAATTTACACCTGCCCTTGGTGCTCTCTGAACTCTCTCACAGGTGGTATGGGTGCCAGTCTGTGGGAGGCCTTGCCGTCTGGTGCAAACGTTCACCAGCCCGCGAGGGTCACACACACGCTCGCCAGCCCTCGCCAGTCACTTGGCGCAGGTGTACGCGCCTGCACCTGCAATGGGTGTTTTTGCGGTGTCTACGTGTGCTTTTTGGCTTTTGGTTCTTTGGGGGTGTGGCCTCTTCCCGCGCAGTGGAGACTAAGGCAAGGAGAAGGAGTTGGGCCTCCCCAGTTCCTCCTCCTGTTCTTTCCCCAATGCCTCCGTTTCTAGTTTCTCCTCAGGGGCCTCTGGGCAGTTCTGTGACCCCTTCGGCCAAGGATCCACCCCCTGTGCGGCCTGTGTTTCAATTGCAGGCAGTCTGGTTCCTGAGTGTCCCTCTTCTGCCTCTTTGGGGATGCGCCTTTCCAGCCCACAATGGAGACTACAGAACGGGGAGGGAGTTGGGACTCTCCGGTGCCTCTTCCCCTTCTTTCCCCAATGCCTCCGTCTCCAGTCTCTCCTCAAGGCTCTCCCAGCCAGTCTCCACTTAGTCCCCCAGCTCACATGCACAAGCTGTGTTCGGAGCGCACTAAAGGCAGGTTAATTGATTCCCTTATGCCTGAGCGAGATGGTAGCTGCAGAGTGTGAGGTGCGTTATCACCGGGGCTCCACCAGCCGCTGTGTCAGTTCTTTTCACAAAGTTTTCCTCACCAGTCTTTTCCCAGGCTCCAGCCCACCCTGCTGCCGCCTCTACCCAGAGATCAAGGAGGGTGGCTGCCATTGCAATTTTTGCATTGGCCCTTTAAATGTCTCTTTGTATCCACAGCCACCTGTCTCTGGCAGAGAGCGCCCCTAAGCTTTTCGAGGTTGTGTTTTGTCTGTATTTTCTTGGCTTTAGCTGCTGTAGTTTAGGGGTTCCTGTTTATGATTCAGACCCCGTTCTTCTCGGGGGAAGCTGACTGGCCGTTTCATTGTCCCTGTGGTGCCAGTGCCCGTAGGCACCCAGCCCACCCTCTTGAGCCTCCACCGCACTTCTCACCGGTTGGGATATGTGAGAGTGAAATCCACTGTCTGTCCGCGGCTCCAAGGCTCCTCTCCCACTATCGTTCCATTGTTTTCCAGGTGATTACTCCACTATTTAGTCGCAATTACAGTTTGGTCTTGGGAGGTCAGCGTGTCTCCCATTCACTCCTCCGCCATCTTCTCTTCCTTCTGATTTGATTCTTGACTTCATCCCTTCCACTGTTGGTTCCCTGTAGATTTTTCTTTTACTTAATGTAATCATCATTTTTGCCTGGGTCTTTTTTATGCTGTTTAAATACCCAATGAGTTCCTTGAGCATCCTGATAACTAGTGTTTTGAACTCGGCATGTGGTAGATTGCTTATTTCCATTTTGTTTAGTTCTTTTTTCTGGAGTCTTGTTCTCTTGTTTCATTTGGACCATATTTCTTTGTCTCCTCAGTTTGGCGGCCTCCCTGTGTTTGTTTCTGTGTATCAGGAAGAGCTGCTTTGACTCCCTGTCTTAGTAGCATGTCCTTTTGTAGAAACACAACACCTGTACTTTGTTAGGAGTGGAGCCTTAGGTAATCACCAGGGTGGGGCAGCCTGTGTCACCACTCTGCAGCTCTGTGTCGGGGAGGGCTTGGAGTGTGGACAATGCCATTGCCTGGCCTCTCAAGTTTTGCCCAGGAGCAAACTCTCTCCCAGCACTCACTCTGTGGCCAGTTACTTCAATTTCTCCCTGTATGCCACTGATTCCCTTCCAGGTGTTGTCCTGGTGCTGAATTCCGGAGAGGGTTGGTCTGTGTAAGTCCTAAGTCCATTGTGGGGCCTTTAAGGGGATTCTCCTATGAATCCTGCAGTTCCTTCCACTGCCCTGGCCCCTTCTTGTTTTTACAGTCAGAAATTATGGGGACTTACCTTCCTGGTTCTCGAACCCTGGGTTGGGTGGTCTGGTGTGGGGCTGGGATCCCTCGCTCCTGAGGTATCCCTCCCGATTTTTATTCACCTCATGTGGATGTAGGACTGCCCATTCTGTGTCTCCGTGTCTCTGTGTCTCTGCACCACTCCATTTCTCTGCACTCCTCTGTGGCTCTCTGCATGTCTCCCTGTCTCTGCCCCTCCTCCCTGTCTGGATTAATATGACTTTTTAATTCCTTGGTTGTCAGACTTCCATACAGTTTGATTTTCTGATGATTCTGGGTGATATTTGTTTTGTAGTCTAGTTGTAATTTTTGCTGCAGTTGTGTGAGGAGGCGGAGCATGTTTACCTACACATCCATCTTGACTGGAAGTCCATATAAATGATCTTAGTGTAGGAGTTGGTATAAGTTAGTATTATATATGTACCTTGTTTTGTTATTATTATCTATTTAAATTAAAAACTTTTCTATATTGCTATAAAAAATGCCCCCCACCCAGTTCGTGTTCAGTTGGCTAACTATTACCTAACTGCGGGTAACAAATGTGAAAGTCTTTTTTCAAAGAATTAGCACTCCTTATTATTTAATACCTAGCCTGATCCATATGCTTTTGACACCTATGTTTCACTTGCAGTCATTTAATTTTATGATGTGATGTTATGGAGAGAAACTGGTAGTCAAATAAAATTTTTAAAGTATCAGGAAAAAAAGAACTTCGTGTGGTATTATATCTTAATTAGGCTGTTATTTTATGCAGAGGAGTAATGACGTCTGTCTCATTTCGGCTTTGAAATAATAGGATGATAGAAGCAGTACCCAATTTTCTCTTAACTGTCTGTCAGTCTGTTATCCATACAGTTTCATTAATGAGGTTTATGTGATCTTTGTGAACACAAACCCTGACTAAATTTAAAAAAAAAAACAAAACAAAAAACACACATTTGAGTACTTCATCTGTGACCTGTCTCTGTTTGTATGTATACCCAGACACTTGTATAGTAGGCTTGTGTTTTGGGTTGTTCCTTGCATAATATTTGCTGATATGACTTTTCTCTTTTCACTTTTGACCAATCAATATTAGAGTATTAGAAAGCTCCTACAGAAGAGGGGTCTTTCAATAACTTCTTTCCTTTTCCTGATTTCTATTTTTGGCATATTTTGCTCTACACTGAGGACATTTTTCTGAGCTTACTTTGACTCCAGGCAGAGCTAGAGTAATGCTGAGAGTAAGACAGTGGCTAAGGAAAACTACGTGGCATATAATAGATACCAGAAACTAACTAAACTCCATGAGCAATTTGTTGTGCACACACACATTCCAACCCTCATGAAAGTGATTCCCTTGCTTATATATCCAAATAAATAAAATGGAACATAACATCTCTGTAGTAAGTATTGTCCTATTGAATTATTTTTACTACAAGCAATAACTTTTGAAGGAATCAAAATGAATAGTAATGAATGAGGGAATGGTAATGAATGAAGCCCATTTACAAGAAATAGAGATATAAGAATTAGGTATTAGAGCTTTTCTGTTAGTGGATCTGCTAGCTAAATTACTTCTAAGAATCATGACTGAGAAGAGGATTGAGATGAACCATAATAGAACTGTATTTTTTTCAAAATTTCCAACTGGCCAGAATTTTATTAGTATTTTTTTTTGCAGGGAAGAGAGAACATACATTTTTAAGGAGAGAAAAGTACAGCAGGTCCTTGAATGATGTTGTTTCATTTTAACATTGATGAGGTGCAGTAAGAATTGAGCTCTTGTTGATATCCATTAGCCTGTGGTAAAATTGGTTTAATTATATGTCGTTTCACCACAGTTCCAAGAACCTATTGATGACATTGAGGACTTCCTATAATTACTTTGGCCATAGTAATAACACTGTAATAAACATAGTCAAGTAATAACGTTGTTTATTAGAGTAATTTCTAATCCACTGACTGAAAATAACTACTGTTTTATTCTTTTAGTCACCCTTCTACTGGATTAGGTAAAGATTGTGAATTCTCTTTAGATCATTAATGTATTAAGATAAGAGTCTTTATTTGCATCTGTATGGACAGTAAAAAGCATAATTTACTCTTCTTTTAGAACAAGTATTTATGTTACTCAGGTGTGAGGATCATGAAAGTAGTCACCTTTAATTTTTTTATTGGCTTAATAGGTCACTTTAGACAATTGTGTTGAAGTTGGGCGCATTGCCAACACCTACAATCTGACAGAAGTGGATAAATATGTTAACAGTTTTGTCTTGAAGAATTTTCCTGCATTGTTGAGCACTGGGGAGTTCCTGAAACTCCCTTTTGAGAGGCTTGCCTTTGTGCTTTCCAGTAATAGCCTTAAGCACTGTACTGAACTTGAACTCTTTAAGGCTACCTGTCGCTGGCTACGCCTGGAAGAGCCTCGGATGGACTTTGCTGCAAAATTAATGAAGAACATACGATTTCCACTGATGACACCACAAGAGCTCATTAATTATGTGCAAACTGTGGATTTCATGAGAACTGACAATACTTGTGTGAATCTCCTTTTGGAAGCCAGCAATTACCAAATGATGCCATATATGCAGCCAGTTATGCAGTCAGACAGGACTGCCATTCGATCTGACACCACTCACTTGGTTACACTGGGAGGAGTGCTGAGGCAGCAGCTGGTAGTCAGCAAGGAATTACGCATGTATGATGAAAAGGCCCATGAATGGAAATCGTTAGCCCCCATGGATGCCCCAAGGTACCAGCATGGCATTGCTGTCATTGGAAATTTCCTCTATGTCGTTGGTGGACAGAGTAATTATGACACAAAAGGAAAAACTGCTGTCGATACAGTCTTCAGATTTGATCCTCGATACAATAAATGGATGCAAGTTGCATCTTTAAATGAAAAACGCACCTTCTTCCACCTAAGTGCCCTGAAAGGATATCTGTATGCAGTTGGTGGGCGAAATGCAGCTGGTGAACTGCGTAAGTGTTTTTACCCCTAAGTTCTTGTCAAATCATAAAATAAACAGTTCTATAAAATGAAAAACAAAAAATACAGTTAGGCCCTGGCCAGTGTGGCTCAGTTTGTTGGAGTGTCATCCTCTATACTGGAAGGTTGCATGTTCAATTCCTGGTCAGGGCACATGCCTAAGTTGTGGATTTGATGCCCCACTGGGGAGCCTACATGAAAGCATCCACTTGATCTCTCTCTCTCTTTCTCTCTCCCCCTTCCTGTCTTTCTAAAAACAATGAAAAAATGCACTCGGGTTAAGATTATAAAATGTAGTTAGGCTTTTATTTTAAACTGTTTCTTTTAGAAAATTTCAGAGACAAAGAGTATGCCTGACCTGTGCATATATTTTTGGCCACAGTACAAATTACATCTCATAAATACATCAATACATTGCAGAATATTTGATTTGTGTAGTATATATGGTTTTCATCTTGAAAAATTCAACTACAAAGTGTATTCTGCTAATTAAAATTCGAGTAGAATCTTGGACAGAAGTTTGGCATGTTCCCTCATTTTTCATTTTTAAAAGCCCTCATAATATTTTACTGAACAGGTTAAAATTCTTCCTTATAGAGCACTGATTTTTATTGTTTTTTTCTTTAACATAATGTGTTACCTGTGAGAAACCACATAGTAAGACAATTTTCTTTATCAATTAAATGTTCAAAGTTCAATATTATCCAAAGTTTATTTACTGTGAATATTATAATCTGTGACTATTAGTTTCAAAAATCATTCTTTCTTGGTGAAACACCAGTTTTCTTCTCTGGAAGCTGATCTGGTAAGCTTTATTTGATGGTCACTTTTTTGTCCTAATCTAAGATTGGTCCCATGTACAGTTAACATAGCAATACTTTGACTATATAAATTAAAATTAGAAGGTATATTTCTGTTTTTTAAGATAAAATTGGAATAAAGTAGGTGTCCAAAAGGGAAGTCAGGAAGACCACATTTTATATAGTGCCTTAAGTGTCTGTCACTACCATCATGGTTTGGCTTTTTTTTCACCACGCCCTCCACTGTTTGAAAATTCTGTTACAGAGTGCTTATAGTTGTCTAGGCTTCAAAATGCAGCAGAAGCTTAAAATATTGGCTCTAGATAAATTCACAGTAATTATCAGAATATTTCTCTTCAGTGTTCTACAAAATAAAAGGTAGTTTAATAGATTTGTGTGTAAGCTATTTGTTGGAGACAAAAATAACTGCTCTCAACTATTAAACTTTTTAGCTTATCAAGCCCTTTCTTGTTAGTGACATGATCTTAATATTACTGATCTTTCTTATTCACAGTTTTTTCTTCTTTGTTCTCACAGTCATATTTTTTCTGAGGCCAATCTTTTTAGGTTGTTGGACTAGGTACCATGATCGTGAACCACACAGTTTTCCCAATATATTTTAATAATCAGACTTTTAGAAGCATCTGAGACATCTACACCTTTAGTGTAGAATTGTCATTTCAGGTCTCCTCAGTCAACCACTACACATTATTTTCATGTTATTGTACTACTTTAAATTTATGGTGTCTGAAAATATCCACAAGCTGCAGGCACTTTCTTAGAAAAACCACTTGTCTAAGATAATCTTTACGAGTTCACAAATTATAGGTCATCAACCCTGTTATTCAGTGGTCATTTTGAAATCTTTTTTTCTCAAAGGTAATAGCTCCATTTTTCAGTCAGTGCTTGCTTATTGATGTTATCACCCCTGTTAATGTGCATCTATTAAGTTTTCAATATGTGTTCCTTATATTAATTAGAGGACTTATTATTCTGAGAATTTATCATCTTCAGGCCAATGAGAGTCATTACATATAACCAAGAAGCTAGAGGTTTTCTTTTTCCAACTTGATCCTCACCCACCCTGATTGAGCTCTTCCCATGTTATGCTTAATGCAGAACAAGACACAGACTGCCCCACTGGGCAAGTATCTGGCTTTCTTGCTTGTGGCCTTCAGAAATCACCTCTATCTCTTATTAAAAACAGTCTGTTGTGTTTCAGTTTGAAAGTGAAAAGAAACATTTAAATGCCAACTGTTTGATATTCTTTCCCTTTAAAATCATCTTCTATTATCTGTAAGTAAAATTTTGTAGGAAATGATTGCTTCCCTCAAAATCAGCCCACCCAGTAAATCCAGTCAATATTAAGTATTTTAAGTTAATGTATTATATATTGGTAGTTTTACAAAATTATGTGATAGACTTATTAAGTGCACTCAAAGTAAAAGTCTTGATTCCAGGAGAGAATTTTCAGGCAAAAAAGACAAATTACATACAACTAAGAGGCAAGGGGTTTAATTTTTTCTCCGACCCACCTACACTCTTTGAGTTCCTCCTGTGCTATACCCAAGTGGGAGCAAGAAGTCAAGTATCTCATCTTGTCATATTTGTTGTTGAGATAGCTAAGCTTGGTATAACCTGCCCTGTTTACCTCCCAAAAGAACAGTATCAATAAGTTCTTCTGAATTCTGTTAATGTTTCTCTTGTATAAATAAAAAAAGGACATGTGTCAGTTGCCCTTTATAGTTTTCTTATGCCTATTGTTTTTGCATAATAGCAGATTTTTGTTCTAAAGAAACTCTTGCTTTTATTTCTGACTGTTCCAGTCAGAAGCTGGGCTTCACCTTTTCTCCTGCTCCATAAGCATTTTTTTAACGGAATCCCACCCCTGTGCATGCACGTGCGCGTACACACACACACCCCCCCACACCCCCCCCACACCCACACCCCCCACATTTGTTGTAATTAGTTAACATTCCCATCTTAACTGATTATGCTGACATGTTAATATGTCTGAATAAATAGAGAAGGGGGATAGGAATGGGTGTCAGGAAAAGCGGATTGATGGGAAAGTCTTTTAACAATTTAACAGGCTCTTTAGTTCAAGTACATCATTTATTCTTTATACATACAATGAGCATTGCCTGTATATAATTATGAAAAGAAAAGTGACAACATTTGCAAGGCATTTTAGATCGTTTGAATGCATTTGGCCTTTTAGAATCTTTTCACTACTAGTGTGTACATGAGCCTGGTATATTGCTGAAATGTAACATATTAGAAATGATGCCTTACTTTGACACTGAGTACAAAGGGAAACTAGGGGAAGCTTAAGAGTAGCTGTCACTTAGTGAAAAAGAGTCAGTAATTTCTGGCACCTTTCAAAATTACGTTACACAAGCAATTGATTCTCCATTGAGATTTTCTATATTGAAGAGAAATAGCTCAGTTATCTTTCACTTCAGTTAAATATCAATAAGTCAAGCTTTCAAATAATTAAATAACTTATAGAAAACATGTTAGATTTTTTTCAAATAAATGTACAATAAACTTTCTGAAATTTATCAAATGTCTCCATATCCCTTAATGGGTTTGGGGTTTTCTTCATTAAGCAGCAAATCATCAGCTGGCACTTTAGGATTCTAGAGCCCATTGGGAGCCCTCATTGTCCAAATGGTTTTCTTGAGGCTTAATCTCTTTCTCAATCTCAAAGAACAAGAAATTCCAAATCATCTATTGGGACCAATTCTGGGCTCCGGTAGAATCACCTGAGAAAATAAGATTCCTGGTAATATTTGTGAAACAACCTACCTAAGTGAATTCTTAAGTTGGAGAGGGTCTCTAATTCAGATACGAGGCCACCAGACTACTGAAGATGATAGGGATCAACAAACTTCTGTGAAGGGCCAGAAAAAGTATTTTCAGCTTTGCAGACTGTGGGGACTCTTCCTAACTAATCAACTCTACTGTTACATTGTAAAAGCCACTACGGACAATTTATAAACAAATAGGTGAGGCTGTTTTCCAATAAAGCTTTATATATGCACACTGAAATTTGAAATGCATATAATTTTCATGTATTCTTCCTTTGACTTTTTCTCAACTCTTTAAAAATGTAAAAACCACTCATATTTTTATCTTGTGGGTTATACAAAAGCAGATGGCATACTGGATTTGACTTTCTAGCTGTAGCTTGCCTGACCCCTGTTCTAGATTTTCCCAGTTACCTTATCACCATTCCCTCCTCTCATAGACTATGATAGAACCACTACTTTGTGGCTCCAACTGCTTGCCTTGCATTATCCCTGCTTCTCCCACTATCAAAGTTGTGGCACTAACCTTGTAAATATTGAAAACAAAAATAAGGGCCTCTATCCACACTTTTTAATTAAATATATTCTATTTTAAAACCAAACACTGTTTTTACTACTAATAATAGCAATTTTGCATGAGGAAAGTAGAGATTAAATGATGATAAGAGCTAAAGGAGATGGATTATTTAGCTGAAAGAAAACAAGTTTATAAATGATTAACTATTTATATATTTATTGTTATTGGTGGCCAATAGCCATCTTGCACTTAGGGGCTTCTGTATGAGAGATAATTCATATGTATAGGTGGATAATAGATGTATAGATAGAGGTATGTAAAGATGGGTTCTTATAACCTCTAATAGGAAAAAGAACACAACTCACTGACAGAAAAACAGCATTATCTTTCTATATAGGTAAATTTTAATGTTCATAAAGAGTGCATAGCAATTCAATTTCTAGCTTCAGTATAAAAAGAATAAGAGGAAACTAGTGGGAACTGCATCAAAACAGATTTAGACTGTTACACTCTAGAAATTTCAAAGTTCAAAGCAGAGTTCTTCATTAAGGAAAACATAGAACTATAGTAAAATAGTCTTTGACCTCAAATAGATGAGAAAGATGATCTCTGGAAGTCTTCTAAAACCCTTTTAGTGATAGGATATGTGATTGGGCTACTTATTTTTTATCATTTAAAATCCTACCATTAATTGTTTTGCTGATGCCAAGTCCTATCATTAGACTAGGTTTTCTGTAAGTGTAGAGAAAGAGGGACAATAATGTCCAGTCAGTAGGATTTTGCTTGAGAAGTAGCTGAAAGTCATGCTAAAGGCAAATGGAAATGCACATTTAAAAAGACATCAGTGACTGGACAGTCAAAGACAGTACTGGAGTATTGGGCAGTTTTAGCTCATCATTAATTGTGGAAAAATTATTTCCTCCCTTATTTGGAGGAAAGATTTTGCAGGATCTTGCTACTTGATGGAAGGGTTTAGAAGAGATAGAGTTGGTAAGAGTCTGAGCCTAAAGTAAAGAACAAGGAGTAACAAGAGAGTAGATCAGAATGAGAATAGTGAAAGTCTTTAGAATAAAACTGAAAACTTGGATCTAAAGTAAGTGGAAAAGAACTTAGTAAAAGGATATGAAGTGGTATAATATAGGTGTTGTTTGCCCTGGCTGGTGTGGCTTTGTGGATTGGGTGTTGGCCTGCAAACCGAAGGGTCATGGGTTCAATTCCCAGTCAGGGCACATGCCTGGATTGTGGACCAAGTCCCCAGTAGGGGGTGTGCGAGAGGCAACCACACACTGATGTTTCTCTCCCTCTCTTCCCCTCTCTCTAAAAATAAATAAATGAAGTCCTTTTTAAAAAGTATAGGTGTTAGAAGAGAATTGAATACTTCACATAGTGGATTTGATGAAGAAATGAAATTGTTGAATAGACTGGAAAATTATTCTCTCAATCTCTGTCTCTGGTTTTGTCTGTTCTAATGTTATCTTTTTAACAGGCAACCTTGTTCAAAGGATGATTCATCAGTTAGAATGTCATTTGGCTACAAGTAGCAAAACCTTTTTCTAGTGGCTTTATCAAAAAGCCCCACTCAGTAGACTTCTGCTTCCATTTTGTTGTCTAGAACTTTATTATATGGTCAACTCCAGCTTCCAGGGAACCTGATAATTTGAACTTTATTTTAAATTTTGCACAGTGCTTCCCTGATAGTGTTATGGTTAGTAATATAAAAGCAGGGTTAGGTGAGATAAGAAATTGGATTAGCAACTGGCAGTGTCTGCTATAAATGACATAAATTTTTCAAGTCAATCTAGACATCATGCTTTTAAAAGAGGCTCACATTTTCTATTTGGACTGTCATTTTGCTATTTTTGAGGTTACAACAAATTGGTATTTAAATAAGTTGAGGTCACTTTTCTAAAATATTTTGTTATAGTTGGTAAATTTATTACTGAGAGGAAGTACCCCTAATAAAAATCTTAACTCCATATTATGCTGCCGATCACTTTCAAGTTAAGAACATTACTGTCTGCAACAGTGTTGGGTATGTACAAACTATTGGCTTTAATGTATAGATGTAGAAAAATTAATGTCAGTGTCCATTTTGTAGTCTGGATATGAAATAAAGCAATAGACATCAGAACATACACTGGGAGGTGTACATGCTTTTATTCACAACTTAAAATTTTACTTTACATCTATTAACCTTTTTTACCTATATGACATATCAACACAAGGGCCTAGAATTGAAATGTTTTTCTTCCTTGTGATTTTTTAAAATCTTTCCTTCTCACATTTTTAGTCATGGGAGAAAATTCAAATTATAAAGATACAAGAAGAAAAGAAATCTTAGTGATTTCTGCAGTGACAGATATGTGTTACATTACACTAAGTATCTAGTTGAATGTAACATGCATTAATGGTTCAAATTATTAATATAAACTCAATTATTAACATGAGACCTCTAAAGAATATCTCAAACCTATAATAGGCATGTTTCAGTTATTTTGATATTATTATTATTGTTTCACCTGAAAAAATAATTAATTGCTAAAATTGAAATTATAAATCATTTTTTTTTAACAACAGCTACAGTAGAATGTTACAATCCAAGAACAAATGAATGGACCTATGTTGCCAAAATGAGTGAGCCCCACTATGGCCACGCTGGAACTGTGTATGGAGGAGTAATGTATATTTCAGGTAAACAATTATGCTTCAAGTAAAATTAATAAAATATATAATTATTTGCTACTTGACCAATTCTGGGCTACGCTTCAAGTAAAATAAATAAAATATATAAACTTTTTTACTGTCACCATCTTTCTATGTAGTGTTAATAAAGTAATTCTGAAAATGAATAATAAAAATATAATTTATGTTGATTTTAGAAGATATACAGGGGTAGGAAAAGTAGGTTAACAATAATAATAAATAATAATATAAAAATAAACTCTGTGTTTCATATACTTACAACTGTAAATCTACTTTTGCCCATCCCTGTATTTTGGTCACATGCACATGTATTTTGCTAATAAAAAATTTGGAGCTGGCTACATTTTGCTTACAGTGTCCCAGTAGCAACTTTCATTGTCAAACTGTTAGTATTTAAGTCATCCCTCTGTAGAATTTAGAAAAGTCTTATGTTACTGCAATGTTCACCTCTGGTTTTGAAATTTTCTTTTGTTAAGCAGATTCTTATCACTTGGCCCTGAAACAGTCTACCTCAGACAATGTCCCCCTTCTGAGGGCCTGCTAGTGCCTGACCAACAGTTATATTATTAGAGAACAGAGGTGCTCAGGTGATGTTTGTGGTCTAAGTCTGTAAATACTGCCTTATGAAATCTGTAATTACTGTGAAAACCTAAAAATGGAACTTCCTTTTGACCCAGCGATTCCACTGCTGGGATTATAACCTAAAAATCCCAAAACACCAATTCAAAAGAACCTATGCACCCCAATGTTCATAGCAGCACAATTTACAATAGCCAAGTGCTGGAAGCAACCTAAGTGCCCATCAGTAAATGAATGAATCAAAAACTATGGTACATTTACACAATGGAATACTATGCAGCAGAAAGAAAGAAAGAGCTACTACCCTTCGTGACAGCATAGATGGAACTGGAGAGCATTATGCTAAGTGAAATAAGCCAGGTTGTGAAAGACAAATACCATATGATCTCACCTATAAGTAGAACATAACCAACAAAACAAGCAAACAAGCAAAATATAACCGGAGACATTGAAATAAAGAACAAACTAAATGGCACAAAGTAAAAAAAAAAAAAGAAAGAAAGAAAGAAAGAAATAAAGAACAAACTGACAGTAACCAGAGAGGAAGGGGGTGGGGAGATAACAGAGGACCAGAAGGGGAAGGGTCACCAAGGAAGATGTATAAAGGACCCATGGACAAAGCCAAAAGGGGGTAGGATTGAGAGTGGGAAGGGGGTGGGTGGGGCAGGGGAAGTGGCGGTGGGAAAATGGAGACAACTGTACTTGAACAACAATAATAAATTTCTTAAAAATAATGTAAAAATTAAAAAGTCGAAGAAAATTTAAAAAAGAATCACTGAAAGGCCTGGAATATGTGATTGGCAGGTTTTTGTGTTAAATTTATGAGCAGTTACAGGATGTTTTATATCGAAAGAATCATCCAGAAAATCATATGCTCCATTAATCAATGATTTATACCCTCTACCTATTTTCTGTGTGTAGATGCTATGCCATTATAATGAGAGCTGCAAATCTTCTGGGGGGAAAAAATGACATCTGAATTGTTCTGGTGGTGATTTGGCATAATTAGCATATGTTTCATACATGACCTTCACAACCAAGAGCAGGTTGAAACCACAGCTGATTTCTCAAACCAAAGGACACTGTTGTGCTTTCTGGTAATTCTGTAAATTACGGACAAAATATTAAAAAGCAAAAGAAAAAACAGTGATTTCCATCTGGCCACCAGATTGTAGAGCTTTGAATGATATGGCTGAAAATTAGTGTAGTTCTCTCCCTGATCTGCAAAACATATAGTCTGATTGTTTAATTATAGAGACTGATTTGTGATATAAGAATATACTTTATAGATGATATAAAAATTGCATATATGAAATTCCACATATATTCAGCATTCTAATTTTTTAGCTTTGTAAATGCCCATGCTGATAGGACATGACATCACCCACCCTCACCCCACCCAACAAAAACTCTACATAAACAAACAGTACTGAATATTATAAGTTTGTACATTGCACAACACTTTCAACTTTTCCAAAGCATTTTGATTTATTTCAATTCATAGTCATAGTCACAGTCCTAATGAAATAATTAGAATAGACATTCTTATTTAGCAAGAGAGTAAACAGGCACCTAGAATTTAAGTGCCCCAGCCCTGTGCTCAGCACCCAGAGGGTACCCAATAAAACAGCATTAGGAGTGAATGGTACTTTTTAGTTGGAATTTAGGGCAGACCCAACTCTAAAAGTGGCCAAAATATTTTTTCATTCAATAAAGCCTCTTAAATCCCATGGGTCTCTATTTGAGAAAGTCATTGCAGTAATATAAACTATCTTTTTGTTCTTTAAGAAGAGGAAAATGTTATTTTCTTTCTTTTTAATCCAGGGGAAGTATTTATAGAAGGTAGACATTTATAAGAATACTGTTGATAAGGTATAAAATGTCATAATTGTGGCTAGAAGTTAATTACCTATGACAGATCCTTTTATTTACTTTTGCATTTTTATAATAATCTATTATTTTTATTCCTTAGGAGGAATTACTCATGACACTTTCCAAAAGGAACTCATGTGCTTTGACCCTGATACTGACAAATGGATCCAGAAGGCACCAATGACCACTGTCAGAGGTCTGCATTGCATGTGTACAGTGGGAGAAAGGCTCTATGTCATTGGTGGCAATCACTTCAGAGGAACAAGTGATTATGATGATGTCCTAAGCTGTGAATACTACTCACCTATCCTTGACCAGTGGACCCCAATTGCTGCCATGTTAAGAGGGCAGAGTGATGTTGGGGTCGCTGTCTTTGAAAATAAAATCTACGTGGTTGGTGGGTATTCCTGGAATAATCGTTGTATGGTAGAGATAGTGCAGAAATATGATCCAGATAAAGACGAGTGGCATAAAGTTTTTGATCTCCCAGAGTCCCTTGGTGGCATCCGAGCGTGCACACTCACAGTGTTTCCACCTGAAGAAACCACACCATCACCTTCTAGAGAGTCCCCTCTTTCTGCACCTTAAGATCATTCCTACAACTAAGATGCTATAGTCCTATCGTTGCAATGTGTCATGGATTCTCTTCTTTTGCTGCCCTCCCCTTAAATAGTATATGTTAGGATTAGCCTCCAGTAATTGATACAGATATTGGAAAAAAAGACTACATTGATATTATTCGTGCTGTTTGTCTGGCTTAGAGTGTTTATAAAGTGGCAACAAAACCATTCTGGAAATGTGTCCCATAGAAGCTGACATTTAACATACAAAAAAAGAAAAAACAACCAAGTTATTGTCTTTAAAAATGTTTCTTCAGTACTTTTTTGATGCTGTATACTGGGTATGAGATATTTGTCATCTTACATTGGAAAGCCCAGTAAACTAAGTTGAAGCTGGATTATAGTAAATGTATAGCTGTGGTAAGTAGGCCTCAAAGTAAAAAGTTTTCCTTTTATTTTGACTGTAAGGTGTCAAAGGGAGGCAGCCTGCTCCAGCAGAAGCCAACAGACAAAATGTTGCCAACTCGCATGAGCTACCTCCCTCTTTTCATAAAGTATTTTTGAAATATCTGTCAACCCACCTGTCTGTGTGGGCACATTGAGAACATATAAAGTTCTTAGATGCACAGGAGAATAACCAAAATTCACCAATGTTAATTTTTAAAAAGCAGCATGAGCCTTCCACTTATAAACAAAGATTGGGAGTTTTAAAAGTGTGTATAAATACATATGCACATAGAAATATTAAATACAAAACTTGAAAAATTGAGTGGCATTTCAAATAAATGTAAAAAAATTAAAAATTCTTCCAAAAAGCAGCTTCTGTTAAATGGAATTCAGTATGTACATGCTGAATGCACATATGTAGAATCATGCTGAATTACGTGGATAAGGGCTGGAAATTTTGAGCTACTAAATTTGTCACTTGACCAGATTTTACCTTCCAAAACTGTAAACTACACTTTCTCCTTTGCTGTTGAGGTAACTTCCATATTGTATGTATTCTGTATACTCTCAGTCCATAAGGTTATTTAGCACAAAGTATAGCAGCTTCACCTGGTAAGCTGCTTTTGCTCAGTGAATTTAACTTTCATGTTTTATCTTTTTGTCCAATAAAAAAAAACATTTAATGTTATTTTGGTCTGAAGCATCTCATTATTGTCTGATTTGACTTCCTTTTATTAAATACCTTTATTTTTATTTTTATTTTTATTTTTTTTGGTATAGCAAGATTCAAGTGACCAGGACTTAGAGCACTGAACAGCTTGGATTAATTCATATTAATGACTTTCATTCAAGGAAAAAAATAATTTGACCAGGTTTAACATCATTGGTCCAAACTCATTACTGGTTGTCTAGAGGGGTTGTTTACTGGCAGATGCTATTTGTCTTCTCTTCATTCCCACAGAAGTAATACCAGACATGTTTAAATTACAAGGTCAGTTTCCCATATCTTCAAGGAGGTCCATGTTGCCTAGTGAGAAGGGATTGTGTAAAATGTTAAGAGGTTAATTCTTGGGCTAGGACCACAAATGAAAAATGTTTTTGTATGCCCTGGCAGATGTGGCTTGGATGGTTGGAGCATCATCCCATGCCCAAAAGGTTGTGGGTTTGATTCCCAGTCAGGCGACTTCTGTTAGGGCTATCTGTATGATCTTTCCTACTTTATCAGCAAATGACCAGATTAAATCTGAACCAAAAATTTTGAGCTATAGCAAAACAACTACAGTGTCACCAGATTTTCTTCACCAGTAGGGAATTATCAGTGTAGATGCCATTGCCTCTGTCTTGAGTTAAACATAATGAAGAGAACAATATTCCCATCAGTGGTGCTTTTGAATGTTGGGAGAAGCCTGGTATGAATTTTAAAGACCTCCTTTGGCAAGATAATTCCGAAGTGAGAGGAACTGGTCTCCTGACTTCAGTTCTCTGCTTACAGGCAGAACAGACTTAGCCATTTGCACATAGTTATCACCTGCTTAAGAAATGGGAGAGTGTTACCTAAAAATGGGACGGAATGATGGTCTTGCCACCGTCCAGTGTGGGTGTTCTTGGTCAGGAAACACTCCTCCAAGCGGCAGTGGTTCTTTCCATCTTCTGCCATCTTTCACTTCTTAGGTCCTCAGCATCCTCTCCATTCAATCAGCAGAAGGAAAAGTTGAGTGTTGCAGGTGTGAGAGCTGTAGAGGTCAGGCTTGAAAGAGGCATACATCACTTCTACACACATCACACTGGCCGGAAGTTAGATCATGGCGTCTATCAAAACAAAGCAGATAGCAAAATATCAGATAGTTGCATGCCCAGAAAGAAGAGGAAATAGGGCTGGTGATCTGTTAGCGGTTTGCCACAGGGAATAACAGAACATACACAAATCTCTTTGACAGCTTACCTTTTCTGCTACCATGCCATATGTTATTTAGAATAGCAATTAATGTCACACAAGTGCTGTTATTAAACAATTCCAACAGATGGTAGGTTGTTACGCATTTTCTTTCACAGTGAATTAACTATTTTTCTTTATAAGAAAATGTCTGCCAGTCATCGGTTGGCTTTACAAGCATTTACCACATATGCCTTTCTTAGGTTCTTTATCTGTTTGAAAAATAAGTTATGGAATACATTAAATCTCAAAAAGTTCAGAATTTCTTTTGGCTGAGGTTGGTAGGGTGGATAACATGAAGAAAAAAAAATCTACTTAGTCTATTTCTAGAATTATAAAAAATTCATCTGACAAACAGGTTTTGCTCTGAAACTATTTCCTCTCTAACATTGCTTTAGGGACTTTTTAAAAAATATATAAGTATGTAATGTTTCTTTGGAAGTTGCTAAAATAATTTCCTTAGTTTAGCCCTTGAGAGAGTGATCCACTGGGCAATTAAATAGTGTTTTATTTAATTTGTTCAACCATGTGACTTTTTTTCCATTTCAAGGGTCTTTGTGTATTCCTCCCTTCCCCTCCCAGGAACAATTAGCAGACTTTCTTGCGTGGAAATTTGGTTCTGTCTCTAATTTTATTTTTGGCTCTTATGCCTTTCCTTTTGTTTTTCATTTTCAAGCCACTAAACCTCAGGTTTAGCCCTTTCCATATCAGGTAGCTTTTGGGATATGTGGAGAGTAAAGTCAATGGGAAGCAAGTTCACAAGGATTAAAGGAATTTTGTTTTAAATTGGTAACTCTAAAATGCAAAACAAGAAAAATTGAAAAATACAATAAAGTAGAAAAAATATTCATCTCCCCTGTGTCAAGATAATTATTGCTAAATGTAAGTATATCATTTTTATACAATTATAATTTAAAATCAGTATAATTTTGTACATATTATATAATAGAAAGTATTTTTGATAAATTAATAGTTTTGATCTATTAATATATTATTTTCTGATACAAAATACACTCTGATACATCAGTGCATTGATTTCTGATACAAACTACATCAATGCAATATTTAGGATAAGATTTCCTAACCCTTGTATTAAGTCAAGTGTAACTACTAAATGTCAGTATAAAATATTAAAATATTAAATTGGTCAGATCTGATATCTACAAGATTAAGTAATACTGATGTTAGGCTTTTGAAATATTTATTTCATCAGTGAATCTAAGTGATATAATTCAGATCTCTGAGTGAATATTTTATCCTCTACTTAAATTTAGTGTTTCTGTCTTCACTAATCATGTCTTACCAAATAATAGTCAAATGCTTCTTCACCTTGCATAGCTTATTTGGCAGTGTGACTAAGATAAACAAACATTGAATTTTAAAAATGAGAATAAAGGCCACACCTCTGTCAAAACAAACAAACAGGAAACATTAGAAGAGGGATTGGCAAACTTTATTTAAAAAAAGAACAGTAAATATTTTAATCTTTGTGGGCCATATGGCCTGTCACAGTCACTCAACTCTGCTGTTGTAGTGCTAAAGTGAGGCAATGTGTAAATGAATGAGTATGGATGTGTTCCAATAAAACTTCTGTTTTCCACTGAAATTTTAATTTTGCATAATTTTTATGTATTACAAAACAAACTCCTTGTGATTCTAGCTGAAGTGCCTGCCAAATTTTTTCATTTTGCATTTGCTTCTCTACCTGGATCATGCTAGAGGAACTGAGAAGGTTGCAAGAAAGGTGTGGATGCATTTGGAAGGCTTTTGAATGCATGCACATAGGCCGTGAGTTTCCACCAATTTGTGGTCCAGACTAACATGTTTGGACAACTGATTCAGGAGTGGGAGGTTTCCAAGAATATCGCACTATCAGATGATGTGATGGTGGGCAGTCAGTAAACTGATCTTGTGTTGAGGGCAGGGGAGGTCACACCCAGGATCAGTTAATCAGGTACCTAAAGTCAATGAGCTGGTGATAAGAGTTGCCTCTTGCACATGTGCTGTTAGGGAGCACCCAATCTGCTGCCTTCTTGCTCATGCTGAGTATTCAGGACAACATGAGTCCTATACATTCCATGTAAGTCTGAATGAGTTTGGGAAGAGCACAGTGAGAGTCATCAGGGTTTGGTAGGAAATGGAGTCGAGATTGCTGTGTCCTTCCACCAATTTCAATAAACTGTTGTGACTTTTATTCCAGAATGAGGCCAAAAGCAAAGCGATCATAATCGAAAGCTGAGCGTGGTCTTGTTCTTTCAAACTTGATTGTGCAAGTAAATTTTCAACTTGAGAGCTGTTTACAAGGAATGAAGACTTTTTGTTTTATACTTTATTTTTAATGTAAAAGTTCATAATTACTGACATGTAGAGAGAATAGTGTAATGAACACCTGCATACCCATTACTTATGTGTAAAAACTGTAAACATTTTGTCATATTTTCATCATCTAATATTTTTGTTAAAGTATTTTAAAGTAAATTATGGGCATTATGATATTTCTCTCTTAAATACAGTACTTCAGTACATATATTTAAAGCTAAGGGAATTATTTCCTTTTTTTTTCTTTGTCAGAGAAATGCCTTTATTACTCACGAAAAAGCAAGCAGTACTTTTATCAGAATATATGCGTAGGTTTCCATTGTCCAGTGTGTGTCACACAGAGAGCCAGATTATACCTGTACACATGTTGGGTTGGATTGGAAAAGAACCCAAGCCTAAGGGCCCAGCACTTTCTGAGCAGGCCACACACACTGTAGTTAGGAGGGAACAAGCTTGTACTCCTATCAGGGAGCGTGCTATAACAAAGTTATTTTCAAACTGTTTTTTTCTTTTTCTTTTTCTTTTTCTTTTTTAAATCTATTTAGTTGCTTATGTGACTAGCTACATAGACCGCTCACTATAAGGAGTGAGATTAACCTTGCAATTTGGGAAACTCAACAGCATTGTGCAGTGGTGCTCATGGTCCGTGGCAGCCTATCTCTTCCCAAAAATTCCTTCACATAACATATTTTTTTTTCTGTTCCACTTCTTCTATCATAACCTTGCTCACTTCTTTCCCTCGTACCCTTTCTATGCCTACCACCAGGCTGTTTTTCAAAATGGCAGGTATGTGCTTCCAACATAGGTCAACAACTTAAGCCAGTTGCTTCCCAATAGAATTTTCTGCAAGGA